GACAGAAAGTGAGAAATTAACCCCCCTGGGGGGGGGGGATGGCTACAGTATAATCCCTTCTTCTCTTGGAATTTTGGGCACGCACGCACACATGCCCAGTATGAGTTTTAAGTCACCGGGTCTGGGACTCAAACCGCAGTTGACTACGCGGGAGTCCAGCAACGTAATCATTATGGCGTCTGCTGAGCCTGCCCCGGGGCATCCTTGAGCAAGGTCGGAGTGGTCAGTTCTGGGCTGCAGGCTTGGAGGCTGTAGCTGGCTAGCTGAGCTGGGAGCGAAGGAGGTTGGCTGCAGGAAACCTGCCAAGGCCGGAGTCCTGCAGGACATAAGGGCAGGGCGCCGACAGGCACAAACTGACAAAGCGCTTCCAGCCCCAGCCCGGTCCTACAGCCTGTGTCTGGAGGCTCACCTTGTTTGTGACCCTGGCCAGCAGCCTCCTCCCTGCTAGCAATGCAGGGCCCAGCTGTGGAGTGCATGAGGCAGCTCGGATGGGCGCTGGGGGTACAGCAGCCCTCCATGTCCAAGGGCTGCTAGCCTTCATAGGCCCCAGCAGGACTCTGGGTCAACCCCTAATTTCCACTCTTCCTGGTGCCCATACCCTTACCTCTGTACTACCCTCGCCTGAGGAGCTTTGAACGGCATCTTGCGGTAGATAGGGTCGTCCTCGATGCTCTGGGTCTTGGCTTGCAGGGCAGCCACTTCCTCTTGGTTTCTGAGCAGAAAGATGCCTTTGCCCTGGTTGGAGGCGGTGGGCTTGCAGATCCATAGCTGGGTTTCTTCAGAGAGAGCCACCTGAGCCTCTGGCCCTGCCTCATCCCTCCCACACTCCTCCACAGCCCTGCCTTCCCAGGCTTGGCCCTACCCTCACCATGCCCCCCACCCCAGCCCTATCCCTGACTAAGGCCTGGGCCCTCCTCTCCCTTACCACTCTGGCCAGTCCAACCTCGGCCCTGCCTTAACTAGACACCCTGGTCTCAGGCCTTCCAACCCTGCCCATGCCTTACCTTGGCTATGTCCACCCAGACCTCTCTCCAGCCATGGCTCTGTCCATTTCATGCCCCTGTCTTCACCAAGGTCACAGCCCCCCTCCACTCCCTCTGCCCGGCCTTGACCATGTCCTACCCTGACCACTGCCCAGCCCCTCACAGGCCCTGCCCTGCTCTGACCATGCCCTTATGTTGGCCCAGTCTGGAGCCTGTCTCCTGTCAAGCATCCTCTCACCATCAAACAGGGTGAAGAAGGTCTCTCTCTCATCCCTAATGTCCAGACGATAGGTCTCTGGGAAAAATTCTTCCATTTTTAGGATTCTGGAAAAGCAGAAAGGTGGGGAGGACACAGAAGGACTGTGACCTACCTCTACTCGTGGCTCCCATTCCAGGGGCCTGACCTGTGGACCAGCTGGAAAGAGGGTGTCTCCTGGGCCCTAGGCACCTGGCAGCCTGAGGGCTCCTCTGCCCCTCCCCACTGTTCCCTCCAGGACCTTTGTGCTTTCTCTTCCCATGCTGAGATCACTCATTTCTGGCTTCTCTGCAGCCTGCTGGCCTTCCTGCTGCCTGGCCCCAACCCTGGCTCCTACTCTCTTTCACGGTTGTACTCCTAGGCTGAATCATTTCCAGCATTCGTGAGTGCTGGTCAGTGCTGTGCCCCGGTGCCGGGACAGTGCAGTGGGTGGTCGGCACAGATCTGAGCTCCCTGGCGGCTTGGGGGTGCCCATGTCCTTTTTTGATCTAATGTTGGATTATCCTTTAATTTAGGTCAGAATGGTCCCTCCCAGCTGGGCTAAGTATCTACCTCTGTGGCCTGAGGTGTCCTGGGCTGGTCCACATGAGCTCTTCAAAGGTGGGTGCTATGTCCTTTCCAAACCTGCATCCCAGAGGGACAAGGACTTGGCCTAAGTAGCCAACTAGAATGAATGGGTGGGAGTCTGGGGAGGTGGGGACAGTTGGGGCATGGGGATAGACAGCCAAATGTATGAATGGGTGAGTGGTTGGATAGATCTATTTTGGACGGAAATAAGTGGATGGGTGGCCAGGTGTCTGGGCAGACAGACAGATGCCCACAGGGGACCAGATCAGAGTCGCTTATAGAAGTGGGTAGGGTGGGGGCCAGCAGGTGGCGTGGTGGTTAAGATGCTGGACTCCTACATGGCTGACTGTGGTTTGAGTCCCAGACCTAGTGGCTTGCTTTCTCACTTTGTCTCTCTCTCTCTCTGTCTCTCTCTGATCAAATTTTAAAAGAAAGAAAGACAAAGAAAGAAAGACAGAAAGAAAGAAAGAAAGCAAGCTAAAATAATATAAAAAGAAGAAGTGGGTAAGGTGGAAGTGGACAGCTGGCCAAATAGATGTAAAGAGGGTGTGAGACCTGACCAAGTGGTTGGTGGACCTGGGCTGGCTGCTTGCCCAGTGGGTGGGTGGTAGATGAGAGGGCAGTTGTCTGGGGGTGGAGGCGTGGGTGAGAGTCCCACAGATGGGTGGGAAGGTGGGTAGGCAGGTGTGAAAGTGACCAGTGGATGGACTGATGTCTCTCTTGGAGGCTGGGCAGGGGGATGGGAGAACCGTGGGTTTGTGGAATGGGTTGGATGGCTCCTTAAAGAACGGATGGCAGACTGAATGGGCGGTGGTAGGGAGGCTGAGTCTTGAAGCCCAGGTGGGGACAGTGGTGGGCTTACTTGGCCTGGGTGCACGGTGACGGCTTGTTGATCTTGTTCAAGACCCGTGAGTACTCCCTCAGGGCGCTGAGCAGCCCGATCTTGGTGGTGAGGAGCTTGTTGTTGGGGAGCTGGTACAGCAGCTGCTCACCTGGCACGACAAAGGCCTGGGCAACACTGTGCACCGCCACGCCCGCGACTACGGAGGCCTCCCAGCATGGCCCCCGTAGCCATCAGGGCCTCTCTGCCTGTGCTGTGGCCGCAGAGGCTCCTGCAGGCTGTGGGTCTTGAGCCCACCTGGCCCAGCCCCCTCCCGCTACCTTCTCGGAAGTTGCAGTAGTAGTCCCGGCACTTGACCTCGCACCATTTCAGCCTGTAGTCCTCGCGGCGGCTGTCCTGGATGCGCTGCCAGCCCTTGCTCTTGCAGTAGGAACTGATTCTGCAGGGAGGAGGGGCAGCGGCGACTTCTGGGGTGCAAGGGAGGGGTCCCCGAGGGAGGGTCTGCGGGGACTTGGGACAGCAGAACAGAAGCTGGGCCAGACGGGGATGAGGGGGGAGGAGCGTGCGATGAGACAAGGGCCTGCCTGAGGTTCCCACTCACATTGAGGCTCCGTTGGTGCCTCCGATGTAGAAGAATGGGCCCTGCCCTGTGCTGGGTGGGTGCTTCTCCCCGTCTAGCAGGAGCCCCTCCAGAAGGGAGGCTGGGGGCCTGGCAGTATCTGCATTGTCCGGGAAGTCTGCAGGCAGGCAGATGGTCAGAGGCCCGTGGCGTCCTGGCCCGGCTGAGGCTTCCCTGCACCTCCTGGCCTGTCCTACAGCCCCCACCTGCATCTTGGTCCAGCTGGCTCAGCTGGTGCAGGAGCCCCTCTTCCCGGCTGCTCCCCATTGGTCTCTCATGGGTCCAGCCTGTGAATGGGGTAGGTCAGAATGGGGTGGCTGGGGAGGTGCCCACTCAGAAAAGAGCACCAACCTCAGCCTGGGTTCAGATCTGACCAGGGACCTGGGAATGCAGTCAGTTACCACCTGCAGGGCCAGTTTTCTAGCAGGTAGGGTTCAGGTGGGAGTGGGGAACTTGGGGCAGGAAGGTTAAGGCAGGGCATCTCTTCCTCATCCTCCTCACCAACAGGGCAGAGGCTCCATGCAGGGAAGGGTCTGGAGGGTAAGGCTGGTGCTGGGGGCAGACATGATACAAGGATGTCCCCAGGAGAGCAGGAGTCACAATGTGCATGATGACGTCATGGGTGACCCAAGGGACCATTGTCAGACAGGAGAACTGAGGGGCTGCCCTGGGTGGGGTGGGGCAGGGGCAGGCAAGGGCTGTGCCTACTGTGGCTACCTATGGGGGTGACACCAGCCAGTCAGTGTCATCCTCTCTCTGCTCAGTGGGCCCAGCTCCCGCACCCTGCATGTGGCCTCCCTGCTGGTCCCTCTCCCTGGCAGGGGCCTGTCTGACTGGCTGGGTCAGTCCTCTCCCAGGAGATTGCCTTCCTTGGGATGGGACCTGTGCCTGAGGAGGCCCAGGCTTGGGGACATGGAGCAATCCAGGGCTGCTTTGTACTTACCTGGCGCCCGGGTGCGGCACCTCCGGATCCTTGAACGCTTGCCTCTCCTGGAGCTGACTTGGGTCCGAGTGGGCAGTCCCCGGCGGTGGGTAAACCGGGTACGGTTGGCTGCTGGCGTAGGGGCACAAGGGCGAGGAGTCTGCTGGGAAGAGGCCCCTACCCCCCTGCGGGACTTTCGGGCAGCCCGAGGTCTTAGGCCTTGGATGGGGCACACTGGCAGGCCCACCCTGCCAGGGGAATGGCGCTTCCCTGGGCTCTGCACTGGGGCCTCTGCTTGAGGCAGCCTCCCGTCTCCCCTGTTCCCATGGGGCCTGGAGCCCCTTGGGGGTGAGGCCATCTCTGCATCCTGTCTCTTCCGGGTGAGTCTTCCCCTGCTGGAACTGTCCGTCTGGCGTCGCTGCTCACGGCCAGGGTGGTAGCTGTAAGGAGGGCAGCTGTCAGTCTTTGGAGGTGACATCCACATGGAGGGCCAGAGCCATTCCCTGGCCTTGATTTTGGTCCCCCCAGAGTTGCTGCTGACCCCTGGAGCCCAGAAAGGGCCAGGAGGGGCCACCCAATACCTGTTGTCAGAGTCCCCCCTCCCTGAGGCCTCTCGCCCCTTCTCTGAGAACATTTCTGTGTTGTCTTGGGGAATTTTTAGCCGATTCCTTGAAGAGCTCTTTCATCTCAGGCACATTAAATATCAGGCAGATAAATATATTCTGGGGACTACTGAAGAGATGAAAATTTTCTGAAGGTTTAAAAAAATACAAACAGAAAGGCAAGCACACGTGGGGCAGTTGCCAAGAGGGAGAAATGGAGTCTGTGAGCAACTGGAAACTGAAGCCATCTCCCCTGGGGGTGATTTCTTGCTTTCTGTCTCCCTGTCTCTCTGTCTTTCTGGCAAGCACACGTGCCCCCCCCCAGAAAAAAAAAAAAAAAAAAAATTGGGCTCAGGTGCCTGGTGAGGGAGAGCGCCTCATCCCACTGCTGAGGATGGCTTAGGCAAGAAGAGCCAGGAGCTCCTCTTGCAGAAACTTCTCCCCATCCAGAACAGCCTCCCTGGCAGAGGCTGTATTCTCCCATACAGAATCATCCCCCAGCTTGAGCAGGTCCTTGAGCTCAATATGCATCTGAGGGAGGAGCCCAAGTGTGAGCAAGAGGGTGACACAGATACATGCATGCACAAATACGTAGGCATACATGCATACTATGTAGATACACACACACACACACACAGAGGAGGAGAAAAGAGAAATGGAGATGCCCCAGGAGCTGAAGAAACCCACTCACACTTTAAAGATGCTTGGGAGATGAGAGAAGACACTGTGTACCCAAAAGAGCTGGATACTATTAGAACAAAGCAATAGAGAATACAGAAAGAGCTCATGGAAAGGAAAACTTCAACACAAGACTCAGAATGCAAGTAAAAAAAAAATGCCCAGAAGGGAACATGGGTGGAGGGGAGGGTACAGGGATGAAATAGAATTAAAGGCTTACCTGACCAGGACTCAGTCACAGAAGGGAGTAGAGGAGGGAGGAAAGGGCCATGAACCACTTAAACCCTCTCCAGAACTTAAGGAGGGAGGTTCCTGTCCTGGCCGCTATAGCCCCCACAAGCCAGCCTTCCTTGGGGCATACACTGGGTTGGAACCAGAACAGAGGCTCCCAGCCAAGATTTTCAAGTTCTGTTTCTGGCCAATGAGGCCTGGAGGTGGAGGAGGGAGTGGCCAGAGAAAAGAGGTCAGTTGTGACCTTACCAGTTTACCTCATTTCTCTGTACCTCTTTCTTTTTCTTCATTCACGATAGGGCGTGCATGCGCACGAAAAAGGAGAGAGAGGCCAGCACCCTCTTCAGGGTCTGGTCACGCCGAGATCCCTTTCCTTAAGCCACTGGCTCTTAGGCACTCACGTGTATCCCCAGTGTGTTTCAGACTGACCAGGCTGGGGATTTGAACAGTGGTTTTCCTTGAGCAGTGCATGGTCTTAGCCCTTGGATGGGGCACACTGGCAGGCCCACCCTGCCAGGGGAATGGCGCTTCCCTGGGCTCTGCACTGGGGCCTCTGCTTGAGGCAGCCTCCCGTCTCCCCTGTTCCCATGGGGCCTGGAGCCCCTTGGGGGTGAGGCCATCTCTGCATCCTGTCTCTTCCGGGTGAGTCTTCCCCTGCTGGAACTGTCCGTCTGGCGTCGCTGCTCACGGCCAGGGTGGTAGCTGTAAGGAGGGCAGCTGTCAGTCTTTGGAGGTGACATCCACATGGAGGGCCAGAGCCATTCCCTGGCCTTGATTTTGGTCCCCCCAGAGTTGCTGCTGACCCCTGGAGCCCAGAAAGGGCCAGGAGGGGCCACCCAATACCTGTTGTCAGAGTCCCCCCTCCCTGAGGCCTCTCGCCCCTTCTCTGAGAACATTTCTGTGTTGTCTTGGGGAATTTTTAGCCGATTCCTTGAAGAGCTCTTTCATCTCAGGCACATTAAATATCAGGCAGATAAATATATTCTGGGGACTACTGAAGAGATGAAAATTTTCTGAAGGTTTAAAAAAATACAAACAGAAAGGCAAGCACACGTGGGGCAGTTGCCAAGAGGGAGAAATGGAGTCTGTGAGCAACTGGAAACTGAAGCCATCTCCCCTGGGGGTGATTTCTTGCTTTCTGTCTCCCTGTCTCTCTGTCTTTCTGGCAAGCACACGTG